TTGCTGGTTCCAGGGATGGATGTACCAGACAGGGTCCTTGTGACCAAGGAGTCTGTTGCCTATTAGGGTGAGACAGACATTTAAACAAGGACTTACAGTATGGATACCATGATCAGCTGTTTGATGTGGGAAAGACCAGGTGCTACAGGAGCGGAAAGAGGAGGCCCTGACAGCCGAGGGCAGTTAAAGAAGCTTGATGTCACAGGTGAAGGTGAGGATGGTCAGTCAGGGGAGGAGTGGGCACAGGGCCGTGTTCTCTTCAGAAGAGTGATGAGGTGCATGTGCAGCTAACACTGGGGCTGGGAAGCCACGCANAAAGAGACACTTTTGTCATTTTGAGCAGCACTCGGTGCTGTTTGTGGGCGTCTCCAGATGAGCAGTGCTAGCTGAAGAGGCCAGGGCAGCGGGTGGCGCCCCTCAGAGCTGCTGTGCTCTTGTCAAACTTACGCTCTCTCACGCACCTTTAGAGGGCAGTAGAGGGTTACAGGTGACTCGAGCACGTAGGTCCTGAATAAGCTAGCGCAAGCAACGGTCATTCACAATTCTGTCTGGTGTTAAGTTAACTAGCAGGAGATGTACTTGATGTGTTTATTGGACCTTAATGCCAATGTTGCTTTGCTTTTGGGAAACCTAGAATTATTGGTGGGTCTACCATGAAAAGGAAAACACATGTATTTCAGGCATATGTTTTAAATGTGTTTTCAGAGTACTGGGTAAAGAGACTCGGGGTGTTTCAGGTGTAGAGTGTATTTGTAGGAATTGAAGGAGTGAGTTGTGTCTTGTGAATTGAGTTCATAGGTGCTAGAGCCTTAGAGCAGTTAGAAGTTCAGAATACTAATTGCTTATAGTGTTTGACTGATTTCTCACGTGGAAAAAGGAAATAATTGTGGTATTATAGAGATTTCAGACTTTCATAGTGTAGATTGTTTCATCAGATTCATTTTCAACAGTGTCCTCGTAGCAGCAGCTGCAGGTCTCTACCTCAGAGGCTTTATTTTAGAAGGATGCCATTAAAGATGCTGTCCTCTGTACTCATAATAGGCACAAGAAAAAGTGATTTTTCTAGAAAGAAAAATGCATTAGTTTGTAGCACTTTAAGGCTATAAAAGGAAAAAACACATAATTATTGCTAAATTGACCTTGGCCATGGAAACCTTTTGAAAAGCACGTGAATCTGAATGTTCACGGTGTAGATGAATGCAGACCATTTGCTCTAACTTTGAATGTCTAAGCCACTCGCTCATTCAGTAAATAAGTATTGAGGGTCTGCTTTGTAGAACTAGCCCGTTGCTGGTTCCAGGGATGGATGTACCAGACAGGGTCCTTGTGACCAAGGAGTCTGTTGCCT